TATATATATATATATATATACATATATATATATATATATATATATATATGAGTTAATCACCTACACTACCAGTGTAAAAAAATTTTACACTAGCAACCAATTATATCTTTTAATTGTGTCATGTCACTGTTAAAAGTAAATGTGTTTATAGTGACATGGCACAATTAAAAGATATAATTGGTTACTAGTGTAAAAAAACTTTATACTGACAGTGTATAGGTGATTAATTCTATATAGATAGGGGAATTAACTCTATATGAGTTAATACTAATATATTCCTACCTATTTTTTAGTTGGAATACGTTAGCAACCTACATCAAAATTTTAGGACAAGAAAACCACTCATTTCTTTTAAGTTGCTAACATACTCCCACTAAAAAATAGGTAAAAATATATTAGCATTCCCCTTAATTAATTTATTTGAAAATTAAAATAAAAAAAACCACAAACCTAACCAATTTAATTTTTTTTAACACGCATTCCTCTATAAAGACCATAAGTTCTTTTCCCAATAAGTAAATACATTAATGGTGTGTTTGGATGAGGAATTTACATAGAGTAATTCATTTATTTGAAGAATTTCAAATTCCTTGAGGTGAAATGCTTTGTTTGGATGAGGAATTTACAAAGAATTTGAAATCCAAACATTTGTGAAATTCCTTAAAATAGTAAAATTTCAAATTCTCCCAAAAATGGGAGAATTTGAAATTCCTCATATTTGTTTTTCTTATTTCACCTATATATTTTATCTTATCTCTTCATTCTTTTAATTATTAGATATTCAAAAATATTTTTAGAATTATTAAATATTATCTTATATTAATTTTTAAAATTATTAAATATTATCTAATATTAATTTTTTAAATTATTAAATATTTAAAAATGGATTAATATTTATTTTTATAAAATTTAATTTAAAAATCTCAACATATAAATATATTTTTAAAATCAATTTTACTATGATGGAATCAAATTATCATATTTAACCTAACAATTTAAAATTTAAAAAATTTGAATTGACTCATCCAAACAAAATATTTTAAGAATGATAGAAATTGAAATCAAAGTAATTCAAATACCAAGAATTTAAAATTCCTTGAATTTATAAAATTCCTCATCCAAACACACTATAAGTACTTTATTGTTGTTAATTCTTCATGTACCAAAAGAAAAATCTTCTAAGCACGTTTATTTTATTATTTATTCACTAAAATATCCAACAACAAAAAGTTGTAGCCGTTGCACCTCTCTCTAAAACGCTCCCTCCCTCTCTCTCTATCTCTCTCACTGTCTCACTTCCTCACCCTTTCTTTGTTTCTTCACCCTCACACCCCTCAGTGAGAAAAACAACCCTCACTTCCAATGGGCTTTTAGAGAACAACCCACTTGTAAATTTTCAATCTTTTAAGTTGAATTTCAACTGCAATTGCTAGATTAAGATTACCCCCACCTGAAACCCTAGCCAGTTCTAGATGACTCTCATGTAAATTTGTAATTTTGTTGCTGAATTTCAGCTTTGATTGATAGTTTATTGCATCTTCGCGGCCAATTTTGGGGAGAAAATGGCAGAACTTGATCTATCCAAGAAAGTAGCTGATAGGTATCTCAAGCGTGAGATCCTTGGTGAAGGTACATACGGTGTCGTTTACAAAGCCATTGATACCCAGGTAACTTTTATTACCTCTTCTGTTAACTTTGTTCTATTTTACAAGAAAAAAAAAGTTATGAAAAGAATTATGTAGATTTTTTGGTGGAAAAAAAGTTATTTTTGTTGTTAATATATGTATATATTTTTTTGGAGTGTGAGAACCGGTCTGCACAAAGATTGGAGCTTGGAAGAGAATTTTTAATCTCTTATAGTGAAGATGGAGTTAAGAAAATCTGTGAATACGAGGCACATAAGTCTTCATATAGAGCTTTGCAGTAATGTGGAAAGAGAATGCTCATTCTATATGAATTTTAAGTTGTTTTAACAAGGGTTTGATAAAACTATGCATTGTTGTTATTTTTATTTTCTTTTTCCTTTTGGAGGTGGTGGTGCGTGCTTACTATTTGATTGTAATATGGAGATATGGTTGCACACGTCTTCATGAACTGGCCTTTTTTAATATAGATAGTACAATAGTACTATTGTTATTATTATCATCTTGTGGTCCTTATAAAGATGTATTCATTGCATGGACAGACAGGGCAGACGGTTGCAATTAAGAAAATCCGGCTTGGCAAGCAGAAAGAAGGGGTCAATTTTACTGCTCTCAGAGAAATTAAACTTCTTAAAGAGCTCAAAGATCCAAACATTATAGAGTTGATCGATGCCTTTCCGCATAAAGGAAATTTGCATCTTGTGTTTGAATTCATGGAGACAGACCTCGAAGCTGTTATACGAGATCGGAACATTGTTCTTTCACCCGGTGATATAAAATCTTACCTTCAGATGACGCTAAAAGGCCTTGCTGTTTGCCATAAGAAATGGGTGTTGCATAGGTAGATTATGTTGCTTATTTGATCATTACAAAGTTATTACTTGCTTTTAGTTCTGAGCTCAAATGTTTTGTTATGTATTTACAGGGATATGAAGCCAAACAACTTGTTGATAGGATCTAACGGACAGCTGAAACTTGCAGATTTTGGTTTAGCACGGGTATTTGGAAGCCCAGATCGCAGGTTCACTCATCAGGTTTGCTTCTTTATGCATAATAGCTAGTGAATCTTTTCAGTATGCATGAGTTAGCCCTTATGATTCAAGGACTTTAGAATGAACTGGTTTTTTTCGACAAATCTCAGCATTGATTAATCTTTGAATTTAAATAAAACTCAAATCATCTGCTAACTATTCTACTTTCTTCAGATTCTTTTTGTAATAAAACTAGCACTTTTTTTTCTAAAATTTGGATGGTTAGAAGAATTTGCAAGACAGAAAGGGATGTGCCCTACATTTTTTATAATCAGGTTTGGTTTTATATGATGCTTTAGTTTGAATTAAATACAGAAACATAGGGTGTAACTCTGCCTCAGTGGAGCTTACCATTAAATCTCTATTATTATTGCCTGGTTTTATCCCAAAACTTGAAGAAAACAAAGGAAGGTAAAAAAATTCTGGGAAAAAATGCATGGACATATGAAATTAGAAGTAGAAGTATTCTATATTTTAGTGAATATGTTATAGGATTGTGATTCTCTAGGATAATCATGTATTTGGCTTATTGAACAGTGGAGTGCAATTTGTTGAATCCATAGCCAGCTTACTCATGCTCACCAACTTCTATGTAACAAGTGTTTCTTTTGAATCCCATGTCTACCTTCCTTTCAGTATAATTTTGTCCTCTAGATGTCGGCTTGTGTGCTGCTGAACATAACATGTTTCATCCTTATATGTATGTGCCTTGCACTTTCTGTTAATTGATATGCACAGTTGACACTTAATACACATAATAGGTGTTTGCCCGGTGGTATAGAGCACCTGAGCTATTATTTGGTACCAAGCAGTATGGTCCAGGAGTAGATGTTTGGGCTGCAGCTTGTATATTTGCTGAACTTCTTCTTCGTCGACCCTTCTTGCAGGTAAACCAATATTCTCATGGTGATTATATATGAACTTGTACTTTAGCCTTACTCAATGTTCATTTTTATATAATTAAAATTTATAATAAATGAATATTTTCAATATATGAATTATATTATAATTAAAATTCATAATAAATAAATATCTTTGAACATATGAATTATATTTTGGATTTACATATAAAGTTATTTTTAACTATTAGAGATGGAGATAGAAGAGTGTAGATTGAAAAGGATAGGAAGATTCACCTAAAAAAAAAAGAAAGAAATGGATAGGTGGTTAAGAAAATCTAGTATATAGATACAAATAATAAAAAGAAAAGGGAAGTTTGAGATGGTTGAAAGAGAATTTTTTTGGCTAATTGCAAAAGTAGAGTGTGATGCGCATCCAAAGGAGAGAAGAGAGAAAATATTGAGAATGTCTAATTGTGAGAGTAGGAAGACTGAAAGCCTCGCTCTCTAAGTTGTGTATTCTCATTTATAATATAGGAGTAAATTATTTTTATGGTAAATGATAAAAGGTTGGTGTTCTGGAGTAGATGGAGTTTTTTCTTAACATTAGACCATTTATTGCACATCTTAAGTATTAACTTTTTTTTGGATGAGATTAACCATTTGACTTTATCTTTTATTTCAAATTATACTCTGAGTAAACCCTTCAAAACTGCGTTACTGAACTGGGATTACTTCAGAAGCTGTTGACTGTGGTGTTTATAGACATTATAGATCACCAGTTTTGGCTTCCATGTTTTCCTGTTCTAATATTTTTTATGTAGCTGTTTTTCTTATAATATTTCAGTGTGTTTTCTATAGATTTATTTGATTTTATTCATTTATTTCTGTGTACTTTGGTGTTTTCCTTATGGTAATTTCATGAGTTATTTTATTTTATTTTATTTTTATTTTTTATCATTTGATAGGGTTCAAGTGATATTGATCAATTAGGAAAGATTTTCTCAGCATTTGGGACTCCATCTCCTTCTCAGTGGCCTGATATGATATACCTTCCTGATTATGTGGAATACCAATATGTTCCTTCCCCATCTTTGCGCTCTTTATTTCCGATGGCAAGTGATGATGCTTTAGATTTGTTGTCAAAGATGTTTACTTATGACCCAAAAGTTAGAATTTCAATTCAGCAGGCATTAGAGCACAGGTATGTGCCTTAATCATTCTCATGAGAAAAACAGTTTCTTTCCTTTCTTTTCCCTTATTTTAATCTCTCTTTTTCCACTTTTTAGGTACTTCACTTCTGCACCTCTGCCCACAGATCCTGATAGACTTCCAAGACCTGCCCCTAAGAAAGAATCTAAGGCTTCAGATATGATTTCAAATGAAGGTCCTATCGTCTTATCCCCTCCAAGAAAGTCTAGGAGAGTAATGCCAGGGCGTGATGTGTCTGAAGGCAATTCTTTGCAAGGAGATAAGTTAGATGACAGTGTTAGTGTCAGACAGGCAGTCGGTGATAATACAGGAAAGAATGAGCCGGCTCCAATGTCACTAGATTTTTCTCTTTTTGGATTAAAACCTCCAAATAGACCTACAATTACGAGGTAAAACAATGTTGATTCTTCTATTCAAAGTGGCGTAATCGATTGTAATTTTGACTGTCAAACATAAAGTAGGTAGCATTATACTTTGGCTTGCATATTGAACCATTAACCTTTGAATAATGTTAATGAGAGTCAAAGAATGTTATGTGGTTTTGTATGTATTAAATTTCCTACTAATGTTTAACCTTTCAACTGTCAAACAATGTTGTGTGGTTTTGTATGTATTAAATTTCCAACTAATTTTGTGAAGGCAATACTGTGTATAAAATTGAATCTAAAGGCTGAGTATATAATTGCGCTAAATTTAAATGTTGGAGCTATGTGAAAGCAGCAATGCTATATAGTGTACTGTAGTGCTGTGCTATACTGCTTATGAGGCAATTTACACCAAACTTTTGAAACCAGGTTGATTCACAACCTTCAGCATGTGTAAGGTGTTTAATATGCTTACTTTATATGGAATTAATCAAGAGTCTCATGAGAAGCCTTATGCAAGAGTGTGCCAAATTTTTGTTTTTTAATTGCTACTTGAAAATGTTATTTAACAAGTCGTTCTCTTTGTTCTGCAGTGCTGACAGATCACATTTAAAAAGAAAATTAGATCTAGAATTCTAGCAGGCAGAATGAATATTCTGTGATGGTTGCGTCAGTACAAGGGGTCTGAAGCATTTGAGAAAACGCTGCAAATCAGCTTCGCTTGTATGTCATTCCTTATCTCTGACTCTCTGCATGAAGCTACTATGATTATGTAGATGTTTAAAGGAAGAAGTAGCAGTGACAGAAGATTAGCATCTCACTTGAATAGTAGATCAGAGAGCCAAAAGTAACTATCATAGATTAAAAAATAAGTAACCATATTCTCCAGATCCCTTTGTTTTCAATTTTCGTTCTTCACATTCAAGAAAACTTGTATCTGTCCACGATGAGTGAGGGCATTTTCTTTAGTTCTCACTGTATATCTGAGGCTTGAAAAAGTTATGATTGGGGAGAAAACTGGATTTTAACACTGATTTGTTATTGAACATAAAGAGAAATTATTGTTTACACTTTAAGTGTATAATATGTATTTTTCATGGGGATTTCAAATAGGTTATGTACTGAGAAAAATTATTTTTGTAGACATGTTTGATTTTTGGCTGATTTATGTGTTTTCTGGCACGCCTTGTTTGTTTCATCTCTTTTTTTTTCTTCTTTTTTTTTTGTGCAGAATCTTGTTTTAATTTTGTTTAACAAGCTAGTGATTTTGACATTCATTTCAGTGTTTGCTAATTGTTGCCTGTTATAGCTGCTTACATCATTTGATTGAGTCGAGTTAACCTTTATAGTTCTCGTTCTAAAACATTGCTTATGTTTCTGTTCGGGTAAATGATATGGTAGTTTTAGATGGAGATGCTGCCATGCATGTTTGTGTGCAAATTAATTTTAAAAAATAATAGTTTTAGGCAGAAGTAACAAGAATGTCATTTAACTTGTGCTTTGACATTAAACTCAGCAACACAACCTTGGAAGCTGTAAGATGATACATGTTTAATTGACATTCTTTTATATGGAAAAAAAAAACATCAAATTTCTTGGGTAGTGTGTTTAATATAATTTTTAAAGTGTCTTTTTCATCTTTAAAAGGAAAACTTGGGTCAAACATAATTACAAAAAATTATTAAAAATAAATTCAATTCTGTAATGAATAGAATCTAAAATATTGGTGGTTATATCGAAGAGAAACTATAAAATTAAGCCAATTTGGCATTAGTAGTGGAGAGGGAAAAAGGAATTATATTAAGTATATTAAGTACTATACTAGTATATTTGGTGAAATTTAGAAAATTTTGTAACATGTTTTATTCTTTTATTTAATGCCACTTACATTTTGTTCAATTTGTGACACCCTCTACCCCAACATACATATATAGTAATCATAGTAATTTAATTTAATTTTAAAAGAAAATAAAATATTTTATCTCTTATTAACTTCATTCTATAAGTTATTTCTCTCTCCTATTAAATTCATTCTCCAACACATTTTTCTTTCCTATTAAATTTCTTCTCTAACTTATTTATCTCTGTTCTATTAAATTACTTATTTAACTCATTTATCTCTCATCTCTCATGATGTCTCCCCTTTCTCTCTGAACAAATAAAAAATTAATTAATAGAAAAAAAAAATGAATTAGAAAATGAAGTTAATAAGAGAGAGAAAATATTTTATTTTCTTTTAAAATTAAATTAAATTACTATAATATCCTTTATACAAATTAACCAAATCAAAAGAAATGAGTGATTTTCTTGTCCTAAAATTTTGGTATAAGTTACTAACATATTTCAATTAAAAAATAGATGAGAGTATATTAACATTCTAGGACAAGAAAACCACTCATTTCTTTTGATTTGGTTAATTTGTATTAAGGATATCATAGTAATTTAATTTAATTTTAAAAGAAAATAAAATATTTTATCTCTTATTAACTTCATTCTATAAGTTATTTCTCTCTCCTATTAAATTCATTCTCCAACACATTTTTCTTTCCTATTAAATTTCTTCTCTAACTTATTTATCTCTGTTCTATTAAATTACTTATTTAACTCATTTATCTCTCATCTCTCATGATGTCTCCCCTTTCTCTCTGAACAAATAAAAAATTAATTAATAGAAAAAAAAAATGAATTAGAAAATGAAGTTAATAAGAGAGAGAAAATATTTTATTTTCTTTTAAAATTAAATTAAATTACTATAATATCCTTTATACAAATTAACCAAATCAAAAGAAATGAGTGATTTTCTTGTCCTAAAATTTTGGTATAAGTTACTAACATATTTCAATTAAAAAATAGATGAGAGTATATTAACATTCTTATACTGCTCCTATTATGCTCATACGTATCTCATATGAAATATAAGAAGATTTCCTACAACTCTTATGAAGACATCAAGTCCTAATTCCATCATCTACTTTGTTAAAAATTATAAAAACCGCAACAGCTA